CTTAAAGTTGTCAAGGTTGAGAAACATTGCAGTAAGTAAAGGATGAAGTTACATCACTACATGGGGAAAAGCTAGGGTTTTTGTATTGCAGCAATGTAAAATATGCCGGAACAGTATTATCCTTTGGATTCTTCTTGGAGTACACTTTTCAAACAAAAATTGGTCACCCTTGATTTCAACCTGGCAGAAAAAATCAGAAATTTAAACTAACCCTCACATTTCCTTTGAAGTAAGTGATTAAATGCATTCAATAGATTTTAAGTTCGCTTCTGAGGCAGTTTTGTGCTTCAAGATTATTGCATTATTTGTTAGTCACAAATGTTGTTCCAGACGAGTAAGTCATGGTACCCCTGAGATATGCACCTCCTGCCTGATGTTACATGAAAATAAAATTTCCTTACTGCCATCTGCTTCTGTACATCAAAATAACAATAACACATAAATATCATTATGCATGGGCACCCAGTGCAATAGCTAGGACTGCTATAGTTTTTATGGTTTTGCAATCCAATTCCAAAGCAATTTGATTCTGAACAGGTGGACAAATAATTTAAATAAATTATAGGATGCAGAGAAACGTCGAAGTCTTTTGAATAATATAAATATTTTCTTCTATTGCAATGGACAGTGTCCCATGTTGAACTGCTTGAAATCTTGATGTACGCTTGCCATGAAGGTCACAGGTATGAAGCTGTCCTTTATGAAGCAAGTCTGCGCATAGCCTAGTTAAAAAAAAAATGAAAAGAAAGGGAAATAGGATTGAAATTCTAAATCTGAAGTTAAAGCTCTGAACAGTAAATAGATACTGATTACCAATGTAGCCATATTACATATATCAAGTTACTTGGCTTGACGTTCCCCAAAGAACTCTAGAAAATAGTTTATTGATGCTGCAAATGCGCAGGATCTTATTACCACAACAGACATCTTAATTGCTTCAAAACTCTAGGCTTGGGTCCCCACCTTGCTGCAATACCCCAAGGCCTTTGCCTTGATCAGGGGTGTCCACAGGCTGGAGGCAAAAAAGTTAAAGATGGCAGCTACAACTGGACAACAGGAGCGCCATATATTTGGCAGATCACACCATCATGACCACCATCTGAACTTCCTTGACCATACCCTGCAGACACCCCGGCCTTGATATTCTTATGCTCCCTGCCCTACCTAATTTTTGTTCTGAGACCGCCCACACCACCATGGCTAAACCATTTAATCAATCTGCAAGCACCACAATGCAATGGCAGCCCATCCTTCCTTCCAAAATTCAGAATGTGCACCCCAACTCAAAAAGTTGGAGGCCCCTGCTATAGGCAGTTCAGAATCTGTAGTAACTTCTGCCCAGGTCGCAGCATTGCAGCGAATAAAAAATACATAGAGATTATGTCCATTAAGAAGAATGAGCTCTTTTAAAGACATTATAAGGCAGGAATAATCTTCACTAACAACAGTGGCCAAGAGTGCCTCCAAGGGTGGGGGGGGGGCGGTGCTTATTAAAAATGGGCAGGGCTTTGATAGCACACTTGCAGCTATCCGGAGACCCTCCTGCCTAACAAGCTGGTAACTTGACTGAAGAATTAAACTTCAAAAGTAGAGAAAAAAGTGTGAGAGCCCACTTATGAGATACATACCCTCCCCCACAAAAAATTAAAATGATGTCGTCAGCAACTATCATAAAATTGGTACACTGCGTCTAAATATTACATTTCTAAACACTTGGCAATATTAGGAGCCCAACCTCTCATCAATTAAAAATAATCAGAAATTGTTGGGAGGTTAGGGAGCCGAGTACCTACGGTCTGGAAGAAGATTAAAAGTCATCCAGTATATAGGCTGAACAGAGTCTGTACATTGCATTACTATGTTATGCTAAAAATGATAAAATGCAGATTCTCTATTTGAAATTAAACAATACCTCTTCTTGAACATCAAGCTCTTCATTCTGGTTGGTTTCTGTGAATTCTATTGGTTCCTTTGACTCCTGCATCAATGATATCTGGGCCAAAAGAACAAAGAGTTATTAATACGACAAACAGCAAAAATTAGTAGAGTGGACAATACTGTTCTGTTAAACACTTAAGTATAATTTTCTGAAAATTATAATTGTTTCATCTTAATAGGAAAAGTAAATTAAAACCTCAGTAAAAGTAATGGTACTTGAGTCTGCACAGTTATTTTTTTCAAAAATTATTTAAATTGTATTTAAATCTCTATTATTAACATCATTTCCCCATAGAGAGAGATAACAGACTATAGCCTTTTCTATCAAATATTGCTAACCAGAATGAAAACAATCAGGACTTATGTGAAAATGTGTGTGTGTGTGTGTCTGTGTGTGTGTGTGTGTGTGTGTAAATGAAATGTACTGCCAATACGTATATAAATAAAAATAAAAATATGTATGGGCCCTACCTTTTCAGCTATAGGGTCTTGAGCATCTCTATACATGACTTGACCCTGTATGTGGAGTACAGCATCATGAACAGTCAAGAAAAATAATTCTTTTTGAATGTCGTCGTCAAAAAAGGCACAGCGTTCCAATGTTTTAATAATGTGGTCTGCAGGGAAAATATATAATAAAATATTACCAACACCTAAACAGATAACAATCCGTTTACATATTCAGGCCTGTTAAAACTGCATATACAAAATCATCGTGATAAATCAGGTTTCTTCCCCCACTAACAGAATAAATAAATAAAAGCAACTTCTGAAAATTCAGTTTGTTAAACTATAAAGTAATTTCAAGAAAAGGTCTCTTTTCTTAAAAAGAGACTTTAAAAAACACTTTAAAAAGTTTTTTAAACTTTTCCCAGGGTATGCCATAATAAGCTTATTTCAAAATCCTGTAACACGGTTTATAAAATTATAATTTATAAGAACAAATAGAGATTATAGGACATTGGTGTTCACATAAGAATATGGGAGCTGAATTAATGTACAGCATATATGGGAGGATTCCATGACTTGAACAGGGAGGTTTATCATGAATTCTGCACTGTTGGTAACTCACCGGACCTAAAAATTAAAGGGCTGAGAATGTAATTAGGGATTATAATGGGAGATCATTATTACATTACTTACAAAAATATTAATTGCAAAAATATTAGCTGAGTCCTAGTCAGATTATGGCACAGTTTGCCCAGGATGGGGATTAATCCATTACTGTATTTCCATGCAATTTTATAAATTAATTCTCAGAGCTGTTCCATTGGCCAAAGCATATTAATATACATGGAATAAACAGTTGATTAGATGTCTGCAATTTCCATTAAGAAAATAGCACGAGTCGACTTCTGTGGAGTTGCATTGCAACAGTTAGCCACCCTTCAGCAAAACTTTTCTGTTTGTTCTCAGTGTACACGCTTTTCTTTAAAATAATTCTCACAAAATACTTGCTGGTTTTGCAGAAAACATTCAAGTTTCTACATCGTTATACCGAGTCCAGTTTTTGATCCTTCTAAAAAGGTAAATATTGCCTAGAATCAACCTGATGATATGAACAGTTCAATGTTTTCTTGACTATTTGGAAATGATTTGGCATTACCAGATTCTGGGACTTTTTTTTAAACTTCCCACTCTAGTCTATAGACCTGGGATTTCTCAATGGTCTCCCATCCAAATATTAACCAGGCTTGATCCTGTTTAGCGTTTTGAGACTAGCCAAGGTCAGCTTGTTCTCCATGCTCTCAGCCAGAGGATTTTCCCAGCATTGCTATTTATTACTTCTTTTTAAACTAAGGAATATACAATGCAAAGGATTCTGCATTCAAAGCATTTCCTCCACACTGTTCCTTACACTCTGCTCCCTATTAATAATGTATAGATTTCTATTTACCTAGGTGTGATGCAATGTATACGGATACATCTATTCTCTTGAACTCTTTGACAATCTGAAAAAAAGAAGATGGGGTTATCTTAAATATAGCTTTAAGGACATTTGGGGAATACTGGAATGTGTTTTCAGAATAAAATTTTCTGATTCAGTTTCTGCTTATAAATCTAGTATATAATGCCCTTTTGTACCCTAGATTTAAAGGTGGCATTTATAAAAGATAAAAGTAGAAATTTAAGGGTGTAATCTGAATTGATATAGAAGTAAACATAAATAGATGAATAACAATTCTGAATGTAATGGGGGCAAGAGTTTCTCTAGGTTAGAGATTGAAAGTAAATCGGGAAGTATGGCAAATAGATCATAAAAACCTTAACACTGTATCTGAGGATCATGACTGACAATTAAGAAGAAAACAGAATTCCTAACAAATAAAACCATTTGGGAATCAAAGCAGACATAAAATCATGTAAAAGTAAACAGCATCAATCCAGATTATTTTTAGGATTATCCTTTAGGATTAGAGAAATTTAACCATAATTCCTCCAATGTGGTCACTATCTAAATGTGGGTCTCACACCTATTATTTGCATTGAAACACCTTCGATTAGCATAAAAAGAACCTTTTTTGCAGGTAGGATCCCCCTGGAGCAGGATTAACCCATCATGGTTCCAGTCAGGATTGTAGTCCTGACATTTCCTTTGGTAATAATTACATATTGTAAATCCATTTGCACAAATGGAATCACAGGTAGTTTGTCTCATGAATTTCAGAATAATTATAGAAAGCCAAATCAAGGCTCAAAGTTTATTATACAGGTAGGTCACGATTAGTGTGAGTTTGAATAGCGCAATATTTGATTATGATACCACATCAGATTTAACGTGAGCCAAAATTCAGTTAGTGCAAGGCTAGCACGTGCACAGTTGAGGCTAGTGCATGCACAGTTACCGCTGGGGTTTTAGACGCTAATTGTTGTGTGTGCAAAATGGAGAAAAGGAAGGCTCCATCTGAGGAAAGCTCAGAAAAGAAAAGGCTTATTTTGAAGAACTACAGCAAAATACAGGAGATAGCAGGTACGCTTTGGATATGGATTTAATCCTCTTTTAACGTTACACAGTATTTCATTCATAAACATATAAAAATTACCTTTAAAAATTCAATTGCCTATTTCCGTTGAGCAGGAACCAATTGCCTTATTTTCCATAGAAACATCACTTCAAATAGTGCGACTTCGAATAATGTGACCATTTCGTGGGATTCATTAACCGCACTAATCGAGATCTATCTGTACACCCGTACTGTAGCTTGTACAAGCCATGTAAGAGTTACAGAACGGTTAGCATTTCTGTAATTTTAAATCATATCATTTTAACAATAGATAGATGAGAAAAATGAGAAAATATTCTTACTGTTTTCATTACTCGGACTGCGACTACATCCATGAAAGATACAGCTCCAAAGTCAAAAATTAGGCTGTGGAGTGGCACTTGAGGGACATTGACTTTGACCGGAAGCTCTGAATTCCAGTCCACCTGGATTTCCACTTCTTTGGTTGGAATGTCCAGATCTGCAGGATCTTCTAGATCTTCATCAGATTCAAAACCCTCATTTACCGCTCCAGAATCACTGATAACGCCATTCTGATCAAAAGATATATATAGTATGTTCACCACGGTCCTTATTTACAAAGGTGTATAAATTTATTTATTTATTTATTTAATTTGTCCCCGCCCATCTCCCCACAATGGGGGACTCTG